TAATCAGGCTGTTGTTATGGATGTTGATAGAGCCAAAGGGTCTGCTGATGAAGCTGGTGGTTGGGGAAAAGCAACTTCAAGCACGTGGGGTGTGGCGGGAGATGGGGGGAGCTCGTCTGGGGGCTGGAAGAAATCGGAAGGTAGTGATGAAGGTAAAGGGAAGGAGGAGGGGACATCTGATGGGTGGGGTAATGCGGCAAAGAGTTCCTGGGGTGGTGGTGGTGGTGGTGGGTGGTGAGGACTCGTGGAGGTAATTTTTACATTGCATTTTTTTAAACTTTTTTGTTGCTTTTGAAATTCTAATTATTTGTTTTACTGTGTAGAATCCTTTTTTTTCCCTTTGTTTTCAAATAGTTGGTTTTTTATTTTATTTTTTTCTGTTTTTGTTTTCCTAGAAATGGTTTTCATTGATATTACTATCTGTTAGAGAAATTCTTTCAAAATAAACAACCAGAAATTAAGATTCTGGAATATGTTTGTTTTTTCTTTTGTGATAGGCGTTTTGGAATTTGCTCAAGCAGTTTGGTTGGCCAAAAAGATTGACATTTTCCGTTTCTTGCTGATAAATGTTCCAATTTTCTGTTAGTTTTAGCACGAGTTTATTTATGGTGTACGAGAACCGTGATCCCTTCTAGGTTTGAAAGACATTTCTTGCTCATTGAAAACAATATACATTAGGCTCCCTTTATTCATAGAAAATTCAAAAATCTTTGATTTTAATCATCTCCTGGATACATGTTTGTATTTTACAAAATAATATGCTTTTACTGGGAGAGGTTCTATTAAGCCGAACATGAATGGTAGTTTTTATAATTTCTCCTATATATTGTGTTTTTTTACCTGTATACAACTGTTATGAGTTCTTATCTTTATAATTTCCCCTATATAATATTTCATTGTTTGAAATTAAAACTGATCATAATTGAAGGAGAAATTTTTATTTCCATTTTTTCTGCAGCTGTAGCTGTTGGCCTAGAGCTGGAATATGCCTGTCTCTTTGGTGTTATGGGCATATGGTAGCACTGTTATTTAGTATGGTTATTATGAATGTTGGAATGATAAACTCAGTTATTTTGCAGTTTTAAGATTTTAGGCTGGCACCTAACCTAAAAAACTTTGTATGAACATCCTAACCCTTTAAATTTATGTATGACTATTTTGTTGATGCAACTATTTTATGATTTGTGCCGTGGTTATATGTTTGTGTTGTTATTTATGCTGTTTAAAGCGTGAGTAAAAAAAAAAAAATTGGAAATATCTCCTTCAGGTTTCAAGTATCACAAATACTACTTTCTTGAGATTTTTATCTCTAAAAATTGTCTCTTTTGCAGAGTGCGTTTTATGAATTAAATTAGACAAAGCTATAAGTGGAGAATTCCGTCCACTCAAGAATGGGTGAGTCAATGATTTGGCTTCCAAGTGTTTGAAAAACCAAAGCAAAACTGCGAGATATGTCGAAGATGGATATTATTGGGCAACCTTAATGTCCATCTTTCTTAAGGTGGTGTGAGTTTGCACCAACGGTTATCAAACACTAATCCAATCTTTGCTTATGCTGAGTGAAACTTGGTATCATAAGTGACTTTGTCGGGAGGTGGAGTTGGGACAAATTAGCATGTTTATATACGAGATGCCTTGTCTTGAAAATTAATACATGTTTTAACGGAAATAAAAGTTGTCCAATTACAACAAAATATCACATTCTTATTTAGAAAGTATGATTGTTCAATCCATCAAAAAGTTGTCTTATATTATTTATGAACCAGAAGGATGATTGTACAGAATATTTAATTGGTATTATAATAGGTAGATTTTTTTTTTCTTTCTTTNAATACATATTGAAAAACTACCCAATATAACCTAAATACCACACCACAACAAAACAGAAAGCACAAAAAAAAAAATTCAAAACTCCCACAAGTGGAGAATACACACTCCCAAATGAGAGAATATACGCTCCTAAAGAGGGGAATACAAAAGTAACAAAACACAACAAACACACACTCGCAAAACAACACAGAAACAAAGTACAAAACAACCCAAAAGCTAAAATAAAGTCTTCCTCGATAGTCGACAAGCTACTCCGCAAACAAAAATCACGACATCGACCCTCAATGGCAACCACCCACACAAACAGAGACACGACCTGAGGTGACGACCCCTAGACCAGAAATCGGAGGTCAGTCCCAAATTCCAACCCCCACACCAACCCACAGCCACAGGCCGACAATCGACGGGAGCCAAAATCCAAAACTACCGGCGAGACCCACCACCCAACACCAGAGAGACGGGTAATGGGAGGGGAGAAGAGAAGAGACTAACCTCGGCTCTGACCGCCTAGTCGCCGAAACTCTCACGAGCACCGCGTAGCCAACCATTTAGACGACGAGACTGCATAGTTAGTTTCAATTGTATGCATACAATGTTAACAACTGCCAAGACAATATCTATGTAAGAGGATTGAGATAAGCACACCATTCTCTTCTTGCGGTGCCAAATCACCTTAATATGAGAATGTGTCCCACTTCTCTTAAATCCTTCATATCTAACTGCTCGGACAACCATACCTATACGTTTGACAACACCTTTACGTTGTTTCCAATGAGGAGGATGTCGTCTATGTACAACATAAGAAACACCACCACATTTCCGTTACTTTTCTTGTACATGCGGTGCTCATCTGGACATTGAGTGAACTCGTACGAATGAATCACATCATCAAATCGGAATTTCAAAGACCTCGAAGCCCATTTAACTTGCAAACCAAATGCTCACAACTTTCATGGCTTTTTTTTTTTTTTTTNTTTTTTTTTTTTTTTTTTAATTCTTAAAATTTTGTTTCAAAACTTGATTTTTGAATGAATATACATTTTTTACATTAAATGATGGTGTTGTGCAAACAAGTTTTGAAAGAAAAGTTTAAGTATTAAAAAAAGGCAAATTTGCATATTAATACACCACCTTTCATGTTTTTACAATTTAATCATCACCTTTGTAATTTAGCAATTTAATACACCACTTTCACTATTATTTGCGATTCGAATCACAGGGCCCAATTCGGGCTTTTTCTACTGACATGGCATTTTTTATGTTGACATGGCGTTCCAAGTGTCAATGACATGGCATTTTTTGTGCTGACATGGCATTCTAAGTGTCAATTAGAAATAAAAAATTTTGTTGCCCATGAAATTCGAACTTGAGACTTGAAGCTTATAAAGTAGTAGTGCCACCACCACACCAATCCTAGTTACATTATTAATTTAATAGCGGTTTATATATATAGAGTTAAATATGAATAAATCAAATTAAATTTAAGAGATAATGTATTAAATTAATAAAATATAAAATTATAATAAATTAAATTATATAAAGTTAAATGAAAATAAAATAATTAAAATAAATTAAGATAAAACATGTTATAGTAGAATGAATTTAAATAAATATAAATTTAAATATATTTATTATTTATTAAAATTTCTTAATTCATATTCTATGTTTGAGTAAATCATATTAAAAATATTTGATAAATAATATTTTTTATTTTATTATATTCATTTAACATTTTTATTTATTTATTTTATTTTGTTATTTTATAATTAGCTATTATATTTATTATTTTATTTTATTTTACTTTACCTCTTTTTATACTTTCTTATCTTATATTATATTATTTTTATTATATTTTAAATGGTGTACTTTAATTTATTTTACTTTCAATTTAATTTTATTGTTATTATTATTTATTTTCAAATTTACATAATTAATTTAATAAATAATAAATATATAAATATATTTTAATTTACTTTTATTTAAATTCATTCCACTATAACATATTTCATCTTAATTTATTATAATTATTTTAGTTTCCTTTAATTTATTATAAATTCAATTTTATTAATTTAATTTATGTTATTTTTTAAATTTAATTTGATTTAATCGTACGTAATGCTATATATATAAACGCTAAAGATTTATCAAGTAACTTGGATTGGTGTGGTGGTAACAATACTACCATTTATCCTTCGAGTCTCTAGTTCGAATCTCATGGGCAACATAATTTTTTTTATTTTTAATTGACACATGAAATGCCATGTCAGCATAAAAATTTTTTATTTTTAATTGACACATGAAATGCCATGTCAGCATAAAAATGTCAGGTCATTGACACGTGGAATGCCATGTCAGCAAAAAAATGACATGTCAATGCCATGTCAGCAGAAAAAGCCCGAATTAGGCCCTGTGATTTGAATTGCAAAAAATAGTGAAAATGGTGTATTAAATTGCTAAATTACAAAGGTGATGATTAAATTGCAAAAACATGAAATGTGATGTATTAATATGCAATTTTGCCTTAAAAAACTATGAATAATTGTAAATAAAGACTAAAAACGAAAAATAAGTCAATGTGTACGAAAAAACTTGGTTTCCCACACAACAACATTTAATGTGAAAAATATATTTTCATCATAAAAATTAAGTTTCGAAACAAAGGTTAAGTATGATAAAAATCATGAAAAATAATAATTTTTTTCAAAGGGTGTGATTGGATATGAATTTGATTTTGTTTTGGTTGTTTATTAACCATAGTTAATTTTAAAAAAGTGTTTGAGTTAGGTTTGAGTGGAATTTTGAGTTTTTATTAAAATAATATTTAAAATAAAATGAATAAAATTGATTTGATGTAGAAGTATGAGAAAAGTGGTTGAAAGTGATATGTAATTAAAATTATGTGATGTGAGTGGATGAATAGTGAAATAAATTTGATGTGTAAGAATGAATGATTAATATTTTTTAATTATATTGATAATATTAATAATAATGAGATTGAGTTAAAATTGAGTTAAATTTAAGTTTTAATTAATTTTTTTTATTGAATTAATATCCAAACACCCAAAATTAACTCCACTTTTCCAAGAAATTCTATCAACTAAAAAATGACTTATATGTTATATCCAACCACCTCTCCCTAGAAGGCTACATTAATCTCGAGGAATATAGCTCGAGAGGAAAATGATATAAATAGAATTAAATAGATTATGGCGTGCGAAACACCATATATCTGATTTCAAATAAATATGATCTCTTTCCCATTTTGTTCACATATCAGCCCTAATCCTCTCTCCTCTCTTCCTCATCGGCGGTAGCAATTCCGGCATATCCTTGTTCTCTTCTTCTCTATATTCTTTAGCGCTCTAGTAGCCCCCAATATTTTCTCTTCCTCTGTTTCCTTTCCCAGATTTGAATGTAATTTTCCGCTAGACTTGGAGGTTGATCAAAGCGCGATTTAGCAGATTTTGCCGGAGTTTGCAGGACAGCCGATCACCGCCGGAAAAATTTGGCGTAACTAGAAAATTATTCGTTTTTCTCTTCCTTTAAGGATCTTTGTTTTTACAAAAACAACGCGCAAAATACCTCATTGATGGCGATATCGTTCTGGACATCCAATTGGGTGTCTTAATTTCGCAGTATCATCCTTCAGGTATTGTTATTACGCTTTGCTTTTTATAGACCGACCAGATTATTTGCTCTACTAGTTTGTGATGCGGATATGGTTCTGTGGTAGTTACCTGTTAACTTATCGTAGTTCGTCACATTGCAGTACTCTCAAGTGTAGTGCGTATGGATTTTGATTGGAACTCTTGTGAAGTCAATTGATGAAGAGATGACTCGTATTGATTGGGTATAATTGGGGGAATATAGTGGTGTGTCGGTGTTTTTCCTCGTTATATTTTTGGGGTTCATCATTTTTATTTGGGTGAGAGTAAGTGAGTAACCATGCTGAACAAATTTATGAAAAGAGGGAATCGAAAGCCCTCAAAATCGGAAGTAATTGAGCCCCCAATGCCCATTTCCTCATCTTCTAATGTAACTGTAAATCATGCATCACGCCTAGCTGCTCCTTCACCATCTCCCGTTACTATTGCCGTGGTTCCACAGAATCCTGGTATAGTTGAGGTCCTGCCAATGCTGAAGGATGTCCCTTTATCTGAGCGGCATAATTTATTCATCCGCAAAATCCAAATATGCTGTTTCCTCTTTGATTTTTCTGACCCGATGAAGTGCGTGCGAGAGAGGGAAATCAAGAGGCAAACCCTTGCCGAGATTGTTGATTTGGTGCAGTCAGGTTCCTGCAGAATGAACGACATAATGCAGGAGGAGTTGGTCAAGATGATATCTATGAACATTTTCAGGTGCTTGCCACCTGCACCGCATGAGAATACTGGATCAGAGGGCGGAGATCCTGAGGAGGACGATATGTTCATGGATCCTTCTTGGCCCCACCTGCAACTTGTGTATGAGTTGCTTTTGAAATACGTGGTGTCATCCGAGACGGACACCAAGATCGCAAAAAAGTACCTTGATCACTCTTTTGTGCTGAAATTGCTTGATTTGTTTGACTCGGAGGACATGAGGGAACGGGAATATGTGAAAACAATTCTTCACAGAATATACGGAAGATTCATGGTACATCGACCCTTTATAAGGAATGCAATAAACAACATCTTTTATCGATTTATATTTGAGACCGAGCGGTACAATGGGATCGGCGAGTTATTGGAGATTCTTGGAAGTATAATAAATGGATTCGCATTGCCGATGAAAGAAGAGCACAAGTTGTTTCTTGTGAGGGCATTAATTCCTTTGCACAAACCTAAATGTATTATGTCATACCATCAGCAGCTTTCCTACTGTATAACGCAGTTTGTTGAAAAAGATTATAGGTTGGCTGATATTGTCATTAGGGGGTTGCTGAAATATTGGCCTGTAACAAACTGCGGGAAGGAGGTTCTTTTCCTTGGAGAATTGGAAGAGGTTCTTGAGGTTACACAATCTGCAGAGTTTAGACGCTGCATAGTTCCTCTGTTTAGGCAAATTGGGCGTTGCATCAACAGCTCACATTTCCAGGTTAGCGAAATGACTTTATTTCAACTTTATATTAACCTTATTGAACTAAGGTGTTCGAAATGTTTGTTTGTTTGTTTTTTTTTTCCTCTCCCAGTTATATGTATTCCTTTGCTTGATATGTTTTTCTTGTAGAGCTTCATAATATATGCGTTATTTTCATCATGCTTTGTGTATAAGATGATGTGAGTACATTATGGACGGATGAAACACTATGAAGTGCGAAGTAACTTGGGTTGCTTTTCTCAGAATGCAGCAAGAAGTGAAGATTGTGAGTGATTTGTTTAGCTTTATAAGAGAGAAGATATCTATATCCATGAGAGCATGTCGAGTTGCTGTACTCAGTAGAAATAATAATAATAATGTAATATATTTCTTAGGAATCACATATATGTTTGCTAGAGGGGCAAGAATTAGGTATGTAAATGGTGAATTCCTGTATTGCACTAATTTACTGATGAATAATGCCAAAGAAGTGTGAAGATTGTGAACTGAATATACGTTGTCATGTCACAGCTGGATAATTTTTTTGAATGCGGAAAAAGGAAAGATACACATTGAGCCTACAGTGAATCTTAGACACACGATATCATCATATCAATCATATTCTTGCATCTGAACCATCTTTAGGAGTGACAAGTATAACTTTTACATATGACATGGCATGTTCTACACCATGCATTTGTGGCAGGATTCACAATCATATTTGTATTTTAGATGTAGCTGTTGTTCCAAATTCAGTTGTAATTTTAAACTGGTATCCGTGGAATCAAATAAAATGTTTCTGAGAAGCCTATTTCCTCTGAATTGCAACTGCATTAAAGATGAAGCCTTCTTTGCTTTATTATTATTATTTAGTGAGTAGCTGATACAACAATTGTGCCGTATCTTTATATGATTGTTTTTCACTTCTCTTTTCTCATTGCTTTTTGGTGAGGCAAATTTACGTTGTTAAAAATCTATTGATGCTTTATATTGAGAAGAATTCTTTCTATTATGATTGTTACGTGACAGGTGGCTGAACGGGCTCTTTTCTTGTGGAACAACGAGAACATAGTGAGCTTGATTGCAGAGAATCGTAATGTTGTTTTACCAATCATATATGATGCCTTGGACAAGAATATTCGAGGTCACTGGAATCAGGCGATTGTAGGATTGAGCTCCAACGTTAGAAGAATGTTCCTGGAGATGGACACCGAGCTTTTTGAAGAGTGTCAGAGGGAACATGAGGAGAAGGTGGCTAAAGCCAGGGAAAGGAAACAACAAAGTGAGTTGGCCTGGAAGAAACTTGAAGAAGTTGCTGCTCGGGTCAACATATGAGATGACACTATCTCTGGTTAGACAATACTTACATTGATTTTCTTCTACATCATTTTTTTTTTTTNCGTTTATATTTCAAGAATGCGATACTGGTGGTGGCCATGTGGTGAGTGTAAAATGCATGAAGAAGTGCTATTTTTATATCAGTGCTAAAGGACTGGCTGATTTAAGAAAGGCAAAAGAAAAGGAAGAAAAGGATGTAATTTTATTGTTAATTTTTTGTTGGTACACTGCCTTTCTTTTGTGGTTCTATATCTCCCACCGTTATTTTACTGTGTTTTTGTCTGTAACAGCTGTATTTGTGCTTGAAATCTGAGGTTATTTTCTGAATGAAAAATTTGACTCTTGGTTATTCGCAGTCTAAACTAAGGAATGAGTAAGAAGCTCATTAGGTCAATAGGTTTATACTTTTTTGTCTTCTTTATTGCTTTCGCATAGTTTTATACTTTAAAGTTTAAACTTGGTGTGGATTCAGGGGCATCTCTAATCGGCTATATATATATATACTATAAGTTTTGACTTTCGAAGCGTTTTTTCATACTTACTAGTATGAGTCCCGTGCACTGCACGGGTAAGAGATATTCATTAATATTTATAAATTAAAATTTTAATATTAAATAATATTTGTAAATTAAAAATATAGAATCAAATACCTATATTAATTTGTTGAAAATATTATATAAAGTTTAAATTGTGAAAAATTACATAAAAATGTCTATTTAAAATTAGTACACAACCCATGCGATACATATAACTGTTAATAAATTACATTATATTCGTTTCAAAATAAGTTTCATTTCAAATTTTTTATTCAGAAATTCGATTTGACTATAATGTGATTACATAAAATAATTATTTTGGTAAAATTTTATCATATATTTAACAACATATGTGAATAATAATTATAAATATAAAATTTATATTGTTTCATTACTTAAAATAATTTATTTTTGTATAAACTATTCAAATAAAAAAAAATTAAGTAGTTGAGTAATTTATTGAACTATAAATAATTGACTATTTCATTCACGTCCAAGTTAATATTGACCCGTAAGTTATGAATAATTGTTTTTTTTTATTTTTAATTTTAAATAAAAATATTTTTATTTTTTATATATTATATACCAAATTTAAACTATGCAACTAATAAAGGTAATAGCTGCAAGTTTTTCCAATATATTATATTTCACATTTAAATTATTCAACAAATAAATGTAATAGCCGCAATATTTGACCAAAATAATTTTGTACATTAATAACATTAACTTAGGCAGGATTTTTCAAACTTTGGCAAGAAAAAAGAATTGCCCAATTTAGTAATTCTGATTTTTTAGGCGGGAAAACCAAATATTTTTTTATTGATTTTAGTTACTATTTCAAGTAAATATCATTGTCTTTTTATATATTAATAGATGTCATATTTTTGTAGCGTGCTATGCCACGGGATTTCACGATTTGTTGATTATTAGATATTTAATGATAAATTGTTTGAATCAAATAATTTGTTGATATTAACGTGAAAAAAAAATATTATTTAATAGTAAATTTAAATTTATATCATTCATGATATTAAATATTCAATATTTTATTTTATGTTTATATTAAGTACATATTACTTAGGTCACATAATTTCATAATTTTTAATTACTTATTTTGATTAATAATCAAATAATTTATTTCTTTTTCTTTTGAAAATCTAAGGACTCTTTTTTTTTTCTAAAATAATATATAATTGGATGTGATTTACTTGCCAAACATTGGATGTGATTTATTGGTTAATAAATTATTTAAGCGGGACATGCAAAAAATTTCAAAAATATTTGCTGAAAATTGTTCAAAACGAAAAATAGAAGCGGGAAAGAATGACTAAAGAAGCGGGAAATGAAATATTTTTTTCAAAGTTTTTCAAATAGTTTTTCTTCTCCTTATTATATAGTAATAGAT